TCTCACTGGAGGAGAGTGGTGCTGAACACTCGTAAAGCAAAGTCGGGGGGAGGAGAAATTGAGGTGTGGAACACCTGTCCCCCACACAAATACCTGTGTGCCTTTCCTCCCCCTTTCTCCTTCTCCAAACTACTGATAATTCTTTAAAACTCAGTTCAACTCAGCCAAGACCTCAGGCAGCCTCTACACACAGCCTCTGTTTCTTCTCTCCTACTTTAAGGGATACATCTCTAATTTTGAAGTTTCTACATCTATTGTGTCTAGTCTGTTCCCACTTTCAGGGCCTGTGAAACTTTCCTCTTACCCCGGGAGTCCTGGCTGGTTAAATAATTCAAATCACATACTTCAGCCTAATGGGAGAAAATAAAAGTTTAACACATGTGCATGGGGAATTCACATAAGCATGAAATTCCAAAGATAGGCAAAATTAGGCCTATATGCCACTTTGGACTAAGGAGGGGGAGGTAGGCAGTTCACAGGGAGATGAGAAAAAGCAACTCTTTCCACTTCCCTTTTAATTTCTTAAATGAGCCTATATATCTAATTTTCCTTTCCAAGTCACCTGTAATTCACGATTCTGATGCTGATCTTTGATGTTTGTAACACTGTTCTCCTTCGGCAAGTCCTAAATGATGTATAGTTATTACAAAGAGATCTTAAAAAATCAGCATTTTTGAAGAACTTTATAATGTCTCAGATTCACTAGAACAGTGGTTCTCAACCTTGGCTGCACACTAGAATCACCTGGGAATCTTTTTAAAATCCTGATTTCTGGGCCTCATCCTCCGGCAGCCAAGGTTGAGAACCACTGCACTAGAAGATATACTGGAATCTTACAAGTTAACTTAAACATAAGTTATAAGTTAGCTTAAAGTTGCTGATGGCCAGCCCTGGCCAGGTGGCTCAGTTGGTTGGAGTGTCATCCCTCTCACTAAAGCAGTGGTTCTCAACCTGTGGGTCGCGACCCCTTTGGTGGTCGAACGACCCTTTCACAGGGGTCGCCTAAGACTATCCTGCATATCAGATATTTACATTACGATGCGTAACAGTAGCAACATTACAGTTATGAAGTAGCAACGAAAATAATTTTATGGTTGGGTCACAACATGAGGCACTGTATTTAAAGGGCCAGAAGGTTGAGAACCACTGCTAAAGGGTTTTGGGTTTGATCCCTCGTCAGAGCACATACGGGGAGCAACTGATCTACATAACTCTTCCATTGGCTTTGCATGGAGCAATTCTAAAATGAATCTTATCTTACCTTCCCTGACTGTTCTGCCCGTGTTCTCCGTTTCTCATACCCCAGGTGAAAACCCTGGGCATCTTTGAATCTTTTCTCTGTGTCCCTCTACCCTGCCTACCTGCCTCACAGCCCCTCCTCTCTATGAGCAGTTGCCAAGGCCCATCACCTCTGACTCAGTGATCCTGCTGATGTTCCCGCCCCCGTGTTCTCCAGGATAAGACCCTCATTTTCTCTCCTACAAACAACTGCCCGGCTCTTATAGCAGTTACCCTTGCCTCCAGTCTCTTCTCTTAAACCACCCTATTGTGTATACATTTCAGCTGCATAATTCTTCCTAAAGGATAATCTCATAATATCAATAATACAGTGTCCTACAATCTTTGTTGTTTTATTGTTGAACACCAACTAAGGTCTACACGTGAGAGCATTTACTCTGCCAGCAGCTTTCCTGCTGCACTTCCAGTCAGACTGGATCGCCCGTCCTCTCTGCCAGAAGTTGCTGCTGGTGGCCCTTAGACCAGATTTGGCCTGCAGGCATGTTTTGTTTGGTTTCCAACTTTAAAAAAATTTAATCTGAATCGACGCTTTAAAATCAAAGGAATTTTCTTCAGAGTTAAAGTCTCAAAGAAAGTACAGGGAACTATGAAAACTTCAGAAAAGATGGGAATTTGGGTAAAGGGAGGGAATCAGACAAGACTTAAATTCTTACCTATTTAAGTTCTCAGTACATCTTTTACCCACCTTTAAAACAAATATGTATATATATATATACTAGAGGCCAGGCACACAAGATTCCTGCACTTGGGGGTGAGGCAGGAGGAAGTGGGGGCAGGGTCCCTCTGCCCAGCCTGCGCCCTCTCGAAGTCTGGGAGCCCTCCAGGGATGTAAGCTTGCAGTGGAATATCCCAAGAGTGGCTGCGGCGGCCAGAGAGGCTCCCGCTGCGCTCACTAGCTGTGAGCCTGGCTTCTGCCTGAGTGGCGCACTCCTTGTAGGAGCACACTGACCACCAGGGGGCAGCTCCTGCATTGAGTGTCTGCCCTCTGGTGGTCAGTGCACATCATAGCGACCGGTCATTCGGCCGTTTGGTCAGTTTGCATATTACCTTTTTATTATATAGGACTAGAGACCTGGTGCACAAAAATTTGTGCACTGGCGTGGGAGGAGGGGTGGGCAGGTGTTCCTCAGCCCCACTTGTGCCCTCTCACAGTCTGGGATCCCTCGGGAGATAACCACCTGCTGGCTTAGGCCCACTCCCTGGGTGGCAGATGGCAGGCCCAATCCCTCGGTGCCTGCCCTGCCTGCCCGGGTCGCGCACATGGCAGAGCCTACCTGGGGGTTAGGCGTCGCCCTCGGTCGGGTTGCACACCGAGCACCCAGGCAAGCCAGCCGATCGCTACTGCCCTGCCCGGCTGCCCTGGGTCGGGTCGCACATGGATGCCCGCTGCCCCGGGTCACAGATAGCAGGCCCAGATGGCGCGAGGGGCAGGCGGGATGGCGTTGTCCCACCCTGCCTGCAGTATGCAAATTAGCCACCATCTTTGTTGGCGGTTAATTTGCATATCACACTGATTGGCCCATGGGAGGCGTAGCGAAGGCGTGGTCAATTACCATGTTTGTCTATTATTAGATAGGATATACATATATTTACTGATTTTAGAGAGGAAGAGAGAGATAGAAACATTAATGATGAGAGAGAATCATTGATCCGCTGCTTCCTGCACGTCCCACACTGGGGATCGAGTCTGCAACCCAGGCATGTGCCCTGATCTGGAATTGAACCGTGACCTCCTGGTTCATAGGTCGACACTTAACCACTGAGCCACGCAGGCCAGCTACTCCCCTTCCAAAGATTAATCATGATTATAGATTTTCATGCAGATAAATGGTCCATGAAAATTTCTTTTTCTATAATAGGCAGAAGTAAAGCAGGATTTAGAGAGGAGAATTTAAAAACTGTTTGACAGAATGGAATGACCATCACTGAAAAAGGTGGAGAACCACTGACGTAGAATACAGCCTTTGAATCCAGGAAATGATGCAGAAGTCAGTTGCAGTAGAAGGTCTAAGCATTTAATGTGGTTGGCTCATGTTGAAAGTTGACCACGTGCTAAGCTAGTTATGTGTGTGGGTATCAGTGTACTGTGGCTTTTCCCCAGCCTCCCTTCCCTTTTGATGTAAGCATACAAATGAACTTTTTAGAGAGAATTATTTTACATCTCTTTAACCTGAAATAATTTTAGAACTTGGTAATCCTCATTGTCCTACTTACAAATGTACATCAGGGGGGAAAACCGTTTATCTCAGTTTCTCTAGAAAAATTGCACTACCTATCCCCCCCAGACTGACTCTAGAAGGTGCAGCGATCTTCTGGATCAGAGGTAGACTACTCACGTTAACCATGTGAGGCTTAGTGTGTACCAGCCACTATTCTAGGTGTTTTTGCTTTTTGCTTTTTTCTTTTCATGAACACTGGCCAGTGGATTTAGAACACAGTGCTTTCCAACTCTTTTCATGGCAGGCATATGTATTGCATAATAATATTTATATGGGACACGGGGATAATGGGCTCAGGAGTTTGGCTGCCCAGGGGCTGAGGGGTTCTGCGTGACAGTACATGTGTACTCTCTTCACTGTGTGCCATGCGCACTGTGCTGGGGAGCTGTGTGATGGGGTATTGCAGACTTTATCCAGTCCTGATTTCTGCTGGTAGCTTTGCTTCCTGGATCGTACGATGGCATTAAATATTTCGCTAATCATCAGTGTTCTGTTTCGTGGTCTACAGAAGGGCACTGTTGCTCTCTAGCTGCTTCCCTTCCGGCGGTTAAGAGGCGCTTGGAGAAAGTTCACAAATGTGTGCCTGACAAGTTTCCAATCACTCTGACCGTTCTGAGCCTCTCTAGCTTGCCCGGTCTCTGCTGCTTCCAAGTCTCTGTCTTTGAAACTTGGCTAGAAGTCCTGTAGGGAGGTCAGTTTTACAATGCACTCAATAGGAAGGGCCTGTATAAGAGGGGAAGAAAGGGGAGTGCATTCCACAAGGTCTTTGCTGAAGGGATGACTTGGGTCTCTTCTCTCTAGGCTCCTTCTCCACCAAATAACTTTCTGTGAACATTTAATGCGGAACTCGATGCCTTTGGGGCTCCGAGAGGAAGCGAGGGTGCTGTATGTTCTTTGCACATTGCTGAAAAGATCCTGGTTGGGATCCTGGCTTAGCTTGCTTCTCAATGACAGGGTTGCAGTTGACTCTGCTCTTCCCTCTCACACCTATTCCTTTCCCCTACTCTCAGACAGACTTAAATATACAAGTTTAAAAATACTTAAAGTAAATAGAAAACTTTCCTCTTCTTTGCATTTAAATAAGGTATTTTTCCTTCACTCCTTCTATGCTTTTGAACTGTGATGTGCCGGTGGAAGAACATACAAAAAGGACTGAATTCTGGAACTCATGAGTTCCAGGTTTCAGTCCCGGAACTGCCATTTACCCATCTAAGTGGGCAAGTTTATTTCATTTCTACGCCTTTGTGGTAAGAGAAGACTGAAGATACCTGTCCCAGTCCCCTCTCAGAGCCGATTTTGAAAAATCAAAGAGGATCTAATGTATGAAAATAATTATGTAAGCTCCAAAAGCAATTTATTACTGTATTAAAAGTGGCAGCAAGTCCTTGTAAGAATTTAAATACTGAGTGTTGGTGAGTATGGCCCTGGTGATGACAAAACTGACCCGCCCTCTCCCTCTGTATTCCCTCCCTCACCCTGCAGAGTAACCTGATACACTACCTGGGCCTGAGCCATCACCTGCTCGCACTGAATTTTATCATCGGTTCTTTTGGCAAGAAAAGCGCATGGTCAACTGCCCAGGTGAATGTGACCGACACTGACTTTGACGGCGTGGAAGTCAGAGTGTTTGAAGGCCCTGCAAAGCCAGGAGAGCCACTGAAACGCAGCGTTGTTTATATCCACGGGGGAGGCTGGGCCTTGGCAAGCGCAAGTATGTCCTGGCCCTCTTAAGTTTCTTTGGGGTTGTGGTTGGCCCTGGGAGAGAGGTGTGTGTGTAATTGAGTTTGACTTCCTTATTGGGTAAAGAGAGGGGTACCATTTGACTTGGTCCCTGTGGGCAGTCCCAGTTACCCCTATTATCCCAGCAGAAGTATTAGTGGTGTGTCCTTTTCATGCTTGAAAGTGTCCTGGTTTCGGTGATTATACCCTACATCAGTGATGGCGAACCTATGACACGCGTGTCAGAGGTGACACGCAAACTCATTTTTTTGGTTGATTTTTCTTTGTTAGATGGCATTTAAATATGTAAAATAAATATCAAAAATATAAGTCTATGTTTTACTATGGTTGCAAATATCAAAAAATTTCTATATGTGACACGGCACCAGAGTTAAGTTAGGGTTTTTCACAATTCTGACACGCCAAGCTCAAAAGGTTCGCCATCACTGCCCTACATAAAGGTTTTTGCCTATTTGCTTATTTGTTTGTTAATTAAGGTCGACTGTTTTGAAAATATTTCCTGGGACCTAAATCATGGACAAACTTATTACAAAGTGCTGGCAATAGCATTCTGCACCCAAATAAGGTGGGATTTCATTGTGTTTTGAGGACCCCCTTTCTGTGAAATAGAACAGGTGTTCCCAAATGCACATGTTAACTCATCTACATTTCATCTGCTTATGAAACCAAGGGTGGAAATACAAAAGTGTGCCACCGTGCAAAGGAAGTGCTCTTACAGAGTTCAAGAATGGTCTCTTTAGGGTAGAATTTCTTTCATGAGCAGAACGGGATCAAAATGGCACGCTGCCAGGTGGAGCAGCGGGCAGAATGCAAACCGGGGAGGAAGTGAGGGCCTTATCACCACCTGCGATTTTCATGGAGCTACTTCCTCATCTTCAACCCGGAGCTTTGGCATCTGGTTCTCGTTTGCTTGCTTGTTTTGTTTTAATAACATATTTTTTTTTTTTATGAGGGAAAAGCCGAAAGTATAGCTCTTTATAGTAATCCCATTTCATTTAACTCCATATTCATAATTCTTTAATCGTTGATTTGTTGACGTTTTTAAGAGATGTTTACTGAGCAGATGGGTTTGCCTAGGACTGAGAGGTTTCCTGAAGGGCAGGACTTCTGGTACAAAAACTCAAACAGTTGCATGCAAACCTGTACCTGTGCTCACTCTACTATGTGCTAGGTGATGGGATATAAAAATTAATAAAACAGAATCTTTTTCCTAGAAAAGAATGAGTCTGTACCATGGGACACTTGCCAGGTGAGACATTACACTGGAGGCCAGGAATGGTGTAGATTATAAGAGCCAACCTGGCCTTTTCCGTATTAATTTTGACTGATCACTACTGTCAGAGGAAGCATCAGGCTGAGGGAGGTGTGTAGATGGTTATGTTGTTATTAAACTTCTAATTCTAAGATTGCCTTGGAAAGCCTATGGATAAGGTGATATTTTGGCTTTTTGTTGACACAACCTGCTCTTAATATATTGGGAGAACAGCTAAGGGATTGATTTTTTTGCACAATAAAATTGCTACTGTCACGGCAAATCTTTGGATTCTCTTTCTAAGAATTGCTAAGACTTCTTAAAATTTTAGTTTGTTATGTGTTGATTTAAACAAAATACCACATTCTTCAAATTGGTGATTTTCCTGAATTACATAAAATGCGGGTGTTAAAAGAGAAAATTTTTATGGTTTTCAGGAGAAAACTGCTTATTGGCTGTGATTTTTGGAAAGACATACATTTGAAGAGCTGCAAAATGAATTTGGTACATTTCATAGAGTCCATTATGAAACAAATGTCTAGTTAGTTAAAAGCACATTCAAAGGCAATCTGATATAGATTTCCTGTTATTATATAGCAACTGAATTTTATCAGAAACTGATTTAAATTCTGCATTTGTATACATAACTGTATTAAGGAGATATATGGTCACATTTGCTTTTTATTGTTAATAACTTCAGCCCAAGTCTAAAAGGGTTTCACAATTAGCAGAATTGAAGAATAGACAGTATTAAATAACTTGTTTAATAGTGATTGCTCCTTTGTTTCCTTTAGAAATCAGATATTATGATGAACTGTGTACAGCAATGGCTGAGGAGTTGAATGCTGTCATTGTCTCCATTGAGTAAGTAATTAATACTAGTCATAGAAAAAAATTTTAAGAAAGGATCCCAGATAACTGTACAGTTACTTTAATTTAAAAGTGATAAAATAAAGTCTAAGAATAAAGACCCAGAGAGGTGAGGTGATTTTCCCAAGGTCATACAAAATGATTTCATAGCATTTCTCTCTTTATAATGCCTCAACTTATTTATTTTTTTTTATTTTAGTTTTGGAAACTTCTGGAAAATGAATTAATTAAAATTGAGTGATATATATAGCAGTTATCTGTAGCATATAAGCTTGATTACTGCTTTTTTATTTTTATTTTTTTATTGATTTCAGAGAGGAAGCAAGAGGGAGAGAGAGAGAGAGAGAGATAGAAACATCAATGATGAGAGAGAATCATTGATTGGTTGCCTCCTGCACACCCTACACTGGGGATCGAGACGGCAACCCGGATTTGTGCCCTGTTCGGGAATAGAACTATGACCTCCTGGTTCATAGGTCGACGCTCAACCATTGAGCTATGCTGGTTGGGCTGATTATTGCTTTTTTAAAAACTAAAAACCAATCAGCACTTTGAGAAAATCTTTCCTGCAACCATGAGTTGTAAAAGTGATTCTCCCGGACTCAGGTTCTGTCAGACCTTGTGAACAATAATGAGTTTAACGAATCTTCATCAATGTAGTTATTATTATCATTCGTAGTGATATTAGTATTGATCTTTTGAGTTGCTCCTACCAGTTATACATTAGCCATCTTTCTGGAAAACCAAGCAGAATGTGAGTGTTTATACCAGGTGTGGGGACAGTGATAATACAGAACCATGGTACCTGTTCTGTGGAGGACCTGGTGCAGGTGCTGTTGCACACCTGTCTCTCCTCCTTGCCATCTTTTTCTCATGTCATCCTTTCAGCTAGGCCTTCCCTGACACCCCTATTTAAAATTGCAACCCTTCACTTATATAGATTTCCAGTAAATGTGGGCTCGTCTGTAGTAATAGAAAAAAGAACAGTGGTGGCTTGGGGACAGATTGGGGAAGCGGGTGGTGGAAGGGATAGATTACAAAGGGGCAGGAGGAAAGTTTGAAGGGTGATGGATATGTTTATTATCTTCATTGTGGTGGTGGTTTCCAGGGTGTATACATATGTAAAAATCTATCAAATTGTACATTTTAAATGTGTGTACTTTATTTTATATCAACTATACCCCCAAAGAGCTGTAAAAACACTTAAAAATGTAAACTGATAGTAAAAATATTAATAAATAATGACAATTTCAGATGCAGACACAACTCTACCTACCAGTTCTTCCCCCTTCATTCACAGATAGAACCGCATTCCCCCCCCCCCAAAAAAAAATTGCAACCCACTTTTCCTCTGCTTTATTTTTCTCCAAAGCTGTCATCAACATCTGACAGATCATAAACTTATTAGGTAGTTATTGTAGTGAATGGAAACGGACAATGTAAGTTTCATTAAGGCAGAGATTTGGGAGATTTTTTGCCTCTTTTGTTCATTGCCTGGAAACATTCTTGGCAGATAGTGCGCATTCAATAGATATTTGTGGGATGAATGAATAGACTCTTGCTTAACCCTCATATAAATCATCCCAGAGAAGAATTTTGATATTTTCCTCACAGATGAAGAAATTGATGCCCGAGAAGTTAAGTAACCTGCGGGAGGTCCCATAGCTCACTAGTCACAGGGTTGGAGTGGGGAACTGAGCCAGGCCAAACAGTTCCCAGGCCCGGCAGCAAGCCAGTCCTCTAACAGTGTGACAGTGTTATGGCACCATCAGCCACTCTCCCTGCCCTGAGCTTACCCAGCTCCCCCTGTCCCTCTACCGCTTTCTGCCAGCAGATTTCCCTCCTTGCCCCCAACCCAGATCAGAGACCTCAGAGAACCCTTTCTTCTGCAGCCGGTGGAAGGGCTGGTCTCCCGAGTCCTGTGGGCAGCCCTGACCCTGTGCACAGAAGCCGTGGAGCCACCTGGAGTGGTGCTGTGGCTGCTTCTTCAGCAGATTTGCCTCTCAGGGAGGCCTCCCAGATCACTCCAGGGACCTCGGGGAAGTGTTGTAATGTAGGAACCTTCACTTAAGTGATTATGTCATCTGGCCCGGGCAGCTGGCCAGAGGAAACCAGGGCTGTGTAAGCCGCTGAGCCCCAGTACGGAGCGAGGTCCCACAGCTCGGTGCTGGGGAACCAGCCTCGGAGCCCCTTCCGCGGTTTCCTGTGTAGCCCCAGCTCCTCAAAGGCCTGGGGGAAGGAGGAAAGTTGGCCCTGCTTTCCTTGGCACCATGAGGATTCCCCACCCAGGTCCCACCCTCCAGGGCTTCCATATAAGCAGTTGGCAGCATGCCTGCGTTCTTTCGACACGCCCTTCCCCACCTGTCAGCATCTGGTTTAAGTAAAACAGGTGTTCTCAGACTTATCATCAAACACACAAGGATGGATGAGATGTTTTTGAAGAATTTTTTTTTTTTTTTAAGAACTAAAACACTTCCATCTTTGACTTTCTGGAGGGCCTAATGTAGCTTCCAGAAGTTATCAGCTGGGAGACATGGCACCCGTGGGCCATTATCATTACTCACGACTGCGTGACCTCGGGCAAGTCATTTAACCTCACTGCAAAGTGGGGTTAGGATTCTTTTGAGTGTGTGTGTCGCAAATGTGAGCTGCTGGGACAGAAATCATGCCTTCTTTCCTTTGGGTCCCCATCACCCAGCACAAGGCTTAGCACATGTATGTGAGGCAAATATGCTTTGAGTTGGGTTAATGACTTCAGAGGGTTGTCAGGAGAATCAGTTTGGACAATTGAGATAGAAGGGCTTCAGATACCCAAAGGTGCTAGGCAATCTGAAGCAGTGGTTCTCAACCTTCTGGCCCTTTAAGTACAGTTCCTCATGTTGTGACCCAACCATAAAATTATTTTCGTTGCTACTTCATAACTGTAATGTTGCTACTGTTATGAATCGTAATGTAAATATCTGGTATGCAGGATGGTCTTAGGCAACCCTGTGAAAGGGTCGTTCAACCACCAAAGGGGTCGCGACCCACAGGTTGAGAACCGATGGTCTGGAGGCTTAGTGCTGTAGCCCACAGAATGGAAAGGCCCAACTGACAAATTTACTTACCAACACGTGTTTGGAACTCTCAGCACTTTCCTTCGCAGAAATGATGAGCTAAGATGCTTAGGCTCCAGGCCGACCAGCCCACAAAGAGCTGCATAACCTATGCTCTAGTTGAGGGATAGCCAATATCATATGATCATGATGTTTCTCTTGGAAAGTATCAGCTGACTTGAAAACATATTTCCTCTCACTGCTATATCTTTCCTCTTTCTTTTATCCCGTATATATCTATTGGATCCGTATTATGTGCCAGTTACTAGGTTAAATTCTGGTGGCATACAATGTGAGTAAGACAGCCATCATTTCTGCCCTCATGAATCTAGGGGAGAAAATAAAATCTAGGTGAGAAAATAAACCTTGAACAAGTCATGCTAAGTGTGATAAGTGATGTGAAGTAGAAGGTAGGTAGTAATGGAGGAATCTAATAGGTAAGATCTTACCCCAGTTTGAAGGGTCAGAAAAGGTATCATAAAGTCATCTTGGAATCGAGGTCCTATGGACAAGTAGAACCTAGTTAGACAAAATGAATTGGCCCTGGAGGTTCAAAGTGGTGTCATGAGAGGGCTTGGGAGGAAGGGGAGGAGGCCGAGGGCATTTAGGGAATAAAACATGAGAGAAGACAGATAGAGGGACTTACACTTCTGACAATGACTAAGGAAAAGAAGAATTAAAGGTGGGTGATCCTGAGAGTCTTGGGGAAGACGTGGGCCCCGGCTTTCCGGGAATCCCACCTTCCCCAGAAGGAATGCTGTCTGGAGATAGCTGCTCCCTTATCTTCGAGGCCCACGGAGTGGTGGTGGGTCACAGCTTCCTTCACTTGGGGTGAGGCCTGGGGGAAGGTTTACTCTGAGGAAGCTGGTAGGCAAGGGTTGGGGGCCGGCTGACCCTGGGATCCCCTCTCATGAGGAGAGCAGCAGGAGTTGGAACTGCTCAGTTCATGTTGCTGGCACTGGCTCAAGGTTCTGGGGACTGAGCCAGCAAGGGAGATGTAGATAAAGGCCTCAAGGTATAAAAACAGGCTGTGCCTTCTACTCAGTAGCTTCCACGACACTCCACTATTTTACATATCCGTTGCCCAATACTTGTTCGTTAAATAAATGAAACCGTTTATCTTTTAAACTTATAATACCAAGGATACATGGATGTAGCCTCACTTATCTGATCTAGGAAGGTCCTATTTTATATTCATAAACTTATTTTCACAACATTCACTGCAGTTTAGCTAGAATATGGTATCTTTCTTAAGAGATGGTATCTATTTACCTATAGTTTATATAATCAGACACAATACCAGAACCATGAAAAATGAGGGAAAAGGAAGATTTAATTTCTTTTTAAAAAAAGATAAAATGTAAGCTAACACAGCATATTGTTAAATTCTATTTAATATGTTTTATTTAATCCTATGAGTTCTGTTAAGTTCTGGAAAGCACTTACATTGCTTTCTTGGATGAGGAAAACAGTTTCAAGTTGTGCTTTGCTTTCAATGAAATGTTTACTACACTCGTAAACTCCCCTCGGTAGATGGTGATTTCTTCCCATCCCGTCAGATGTCAGGTGGCAGTAACAGAACCATAAAAACAAACAAAAAAAAAAACACAAAAAAAAAAAACAAGGGAAAAGGTTTATTGGAAGAAGTAGGTCCTTTTAGTCTCTTCACTATCATTAACTTGGTGAATCCCCTTTTTAGACATTTCACTAAAGCCTTTTGGCTTTGTTTTCTACTATCAAAAATCCACTGGTTTCTCTTTTGTGGTTTTGTGTGGTTGTTTTTTTTTAGAATTTCTTGGGGAGGGGAGGAGGAGACTGGAGCTTTACAAAAAGCCTGGCTGCGGCCACAGAGCACCTGGGACTGCAAACCACAGGGAGGCTGGGAGCCTGGTTAACCCA